CACGCCGTCCCCCGCCGGGCGCCCCATCCCGGCGCTGCGCTGGGAGCCGGGGCGGCGCGGGGGAGGCGCGCCCGGCAGAGCCCACCCCCGCTCCACCTCCCGCCAATGGATTTATTCTCGCCCGTCCCTCCGCCGTCTCCGCCTCGCCGGCCCCGCGGCGGCCCCCGGCCCGCGCCCCGCCACTACCGCGGACAACTTTTCGGTGTCAGCGCACCGGGAGCGCTGCCCGCGGCCGGCGGCGGAGCCCGGCGAGTCTCGCCATGGCGGGGGGGCGGACCGGCACCGGCACCGCCCCGGTCTCTGCCCCACCGCCGCCACCGCCTCCGCCTCCCCCGCCGCGGGCACCGCCGGGCGCCGCCCCRACACCRACACCRACACCRACACCRRCMCCGGCCCCGGCCGGCTGCGCGGAGCTCCGGCAAACTTCGCCCGTAGTTTTACCCCTCCCGGCCCCCCTCGGCTAACCTGCCCCCGCCGCTCCCACCCCCGAGGCYGCGGAGGTAAACAACTTGGGCGAAGCCATCGGGAAGGCGTTTTGTTCGTCGCCGACGCCACCGTCGTTGCTTAAGACAGAAATTTTCATTTTTTCTTGGGAAGAAAAAGTCATTGCGAGCAATGCAATTTTGCAGGCTAATGAGACTCGATTTTGCAGACGAGTATTTCGCGTGTGGTGCTGGGGGGGATGTCCTTGAAATGACATCTTTTTAAATGCCTGTCCAAAATCCCCTCAGATATTCCAGAAAAAAAAAGAGTTTAATCCCAGAAATGAAGTCCAGGAAATAGCTGTCACTAATTCATTTTTCTTCACATGAAAGATAAATTAATTAAGGCTTAAAGTACCATAGACTATTTTGAATGCCCCTGCAAGGGAAAAAAAAAAAAAAAGATTATGCTCCAAACTGTCTCATCTGTGTTTGTTTTATGGGAAATAAGGAGAATTCCGACTAAAAGTAATTTAGAGATTCTTACTGGAGAATAGATCCTTCATTCATGCACGGTTCCCAAATTCTTGCCCATAAACTGAGCACTCTCCATAGCAAAGCCTTGGACTGGTTGCTTCCCACAGCACTCCTACCCCTCTGGAAGACAAGCACTTGATACTCCCAAGCAGTATTTTGGGCTGATCTGGCAGGTTTTTACGCACGCACCACTCGCAGCAGGAGTGTTGCCTCTTGAGAACTGATTCATCTAAGCAAGGGCGCCAGGATTTGGCCCATAGTAAATTCTCTTTAGAGATGGTGCCAGCAAAATCTCCCAGCCATGGGAATAGGACGTTTTTGGCAATTCAGTCCCTTGGCTGTCTCTCTCTGATGTTTCCTAGTGGTGACAAGCTAAAGGCAAGATCATTATGGGCTTCCTCACAGCGAACACAGCACAGCTATGTGGCACCCCAGGAGCTGCTGCCTGGTTAAAGGTGTAAGGACATTATTTGCTCTTTCTCATGAACAGCCCTAATCTGAAAAGCACCAAAATTTGCACAGTGCACGAAAATGCTCTGATAGAGATTCTTTGCTTGGTTAGGAATCGAACGGCATCCTGAGGACAAAAAAGCTGCAAGTGCCTCAAAAAGAAGCATTTGTTTCACAGAATGGCTCTGTGGCCTTTGCAGTGTAAGTCAGACACAGAGCAGACCCATTGAGGGGTGGATTTGTGGTGGGTACGGATGGGTACCTAGGTGCAGGCTGACTACACCACGGCATTACAAATGTGGGGCTCTGTCCTTGGCGTTTGAAACTCCTGATGCTAATAATGCCAGCCAGAAAAACTGCAGCACTGGAAGAGCCACTCATATTTTCATTTAATACACCCCTTTGATGACTACCATGTAGAAATCACTCCTCGATGTTGCTCAGTGATCCCTGCCATGGGGGCATCGGATGCACAGCCCTTGGCACTGCTTGGCTGTGGGGTGGGCTGCGGCTGCACACTCCCCCTCTGCTCTGAGAWGGGCGGCTTGTGGGAAGGAACCTTTTTTCCCTGCTAGACCTTCCAGCCACAATCTTACTCAAGGTTTCCATATATCAGGATGAAGGATTAATATGGTTTAAATCTCCTTCTGCTTCAATTAGGCAGGTGACACAATGTTGAGAATCAGATTGCATTCCTGTAGGGCGAAGGGTTTCAGCTAGAAGTACAGCATTTTAGATGATTTGGGTACAGCCAAGACTAATACCTTGTGTCTGCACTTAAATATGGTAGTATATTATAATTTTAAAATTTGCTGCATGGCTAGAAACCACTTTATGTAAGGATTTAAAGTGTGTGCACTTACAATATGAGTGCAGTCAAGGAATTACACAGCCACAGGTTTTTAAACACGAATATATGCAGGCTCCTATTGATATGATAAACTATCAGTAACATGTGCTGCAAAGCTTCTTAAAACCTCRTTGACACAACAGACCACTATTGTGTCAATAGCGTGCAGATTMATGGGGTATTGTCAGACTTTTTTAGGCCTTAACTTTCATTTATCCTAAAACTTGTTCTTCATTGTAACTCTTAACCTTTGGATTCTGCCAACACATTTCTTGTCACAAATATACTAATGGAATTAAAAGAAACATGGCTTTTAAATGTTAATTACCCCTAGAATAATTGATTTGCAAAAGAAACACATCAGCAGAATTTGGAAGTACAGAGGCAGAATAAAATGAACTGAGTGCCAGCTCAAGAGYCAGAAATGCCAAGGACCAGCTTTGGCTTCAATGAGACCGACCCTGAGTTCGAGGTGGTAACAGGAGAAGTAACCCACCCTGTCTCATGGCAAGGGTGTAYGTGTTATTCCCTCTGTCTAAAGGACCTTTCACCTCTAAGTGTTTTATAGATTTGAGCAACACTTGTTMATGAATTTGAAAATGTAACCAGAATATTAAAAATTTACATACTAATAATAGAACCACCCTCTGTTAGAACAACAGATTGAATTTTTTATTCTTTAAAATATGAATACTACTAAACTAAAATATGTTTARACCAGACATTTCATTCTGCTTGAATGCCTCCACTGGGTTTATAACCAAAGCTGAAGMGATTTCAGCAAGTAGGTGTGTTGATTAAAATCACCACTTCAGCCATAGGGTGATTTGGTAAGGAAGTGCAAGTGCACACAGTGGAGGGCAGTTTGTGAGTTTGGGAAACCACCTTCAGAACTCAGGAAAGTTAGCTCAAATGGCACTTCCCTAGGAAATACCAAATACTGAGAGAAATAGCATTGACAGTTTACCCCTGGCCGAGCCAGAGCTCCATCAGTGACTCAGCATGGRAACGGTCACAATGGTTTCTGAATGAAATATCAAACTTATATTTTGAGGACATATTCATTTAAGCTGTGTCATTTCTAATAAAAMCAGCAAATGTCAGTTACAGGGGGAAGCTCAATCACAGCAGTGCTAAGAAGTGATGATGTTAAATCCTAAGAGTCATTTTATTTTAACTAAATATTTTCTTCCCCCCTTCTCTTTTTTTTTGCCAGTGCATACAGACATCTGCCTACTGCAATGCATTGCATAGAGGTAATTTAATATGGATCGAGACATAATTCCTGATGAAGTAGACATGCAGTTTTTATATTCACTGTCCTTAAATTTAAATTGCAAAGTGCGATGTTATGACTTACCTTGACTGTAATTAAGTTTGATAATAAAAGAGAATAGAATTTATTTATTATGAGTGCATAAAATTAGTTGGACAATTTAAGGTGCTATTCAATGAGTAATGCTCCCATAGAAGGGGCAAACATTTGTCTGCCTGATAATATTAGTTCGTATTAACAACCTAGAAAAGTTATTTTCATACATCTCTGGTTTTATGTGTCTTCTTGTCTTCTCAATATCCTGGGAGCCATAGCACAGGACAGGACARGCATGTACAATACGTGAATAAATGTAGAACAATTTCCAAGAAAAACAGGCTTTTTATCCCTATYGATTGGTGAAGAATTCTCTCCTTTGGACTTTTAAGAATGTAAATGTAGAAAATAGGAAGATCAAGCTGTAATACCTCAGAGCTCATCACCAGAACAGGGCCAAAGCCACATAAGCTGAAACTGATAGCTCATTACRGTGTTCCAGGGTTGGCCTGCACGGTGCAGAATTATGTGTTTCCTAATGCTCACCTCTGTTAGAGGGATGCTGACCCTTCCTGGCTTTAGCATCCCCTCTCCATGAACCCTTACTGTTGGTATTGCCCTTCTTGTACATACTCATTCATCCCCCATTCCCCAGTGTTTAGGTCCCAAGAAGACCGGTCTTTAATCTTCCTGGAGTGCATTTAAAGCATATCCCTGTTCAATCACCCTAAACTTTGTTGCCTGGGGGAATACAGGGGAAAATCCCCGTGTTTGGCTGGCAAAGCAATAAAGTTGAGCCAACCATTTTCCTTCTTCAAGTCCTGAGATTGTACCAGTATCAATGCAAGTCAGAAGCGAGACATTTCAGAACATTGGYGCTTGTGATTTACACCAACTGGCTAAAAATAGCAAATTGCTAACATTGCAACAAGCCTGTGCTGTGTTGATACAGACAAATAATTGGTTATAATTCAAGTATTATTTAAAGAGGGATAAGTTTAAGGAAAGATGTCATAAATTTATCCCTGTAAACAGTATCYAAGTTATCACATGAGTATAGTTCTTTCTAATGCTTAAAGGAGAGAAGATAATTTTTTCTTATTTTCCAAATGATGGGAAACTCCTCTTTTCACCCTTGACAGCTGTCAGAA